CTCATTTGGTGTTCAAGGAGTATTAGATGGTAGGGAGAGTCAGGGGTCCTCCACTACCTGGGAAGCAAGAGACAGAAACACAATAATTCAAGTTTGGTAAAGAGAAATTGCCAGTCTCATTACTTAAACATTATTCTTGTGTATGATTTTCAATGATAGTTATAAGCACTGTAAACTTGAGATGCCAGTAGCTTGAAAATGAGAAGGCTGGCTCTTTCCTCAGTTCATTACTAATATTTTAGACTTCCTTGCACCAGCTGATGTTGATCCCTCATGAGAGTTGTGTGGTTATGTTTGTTTATCCATTTCTTTGATTTTTTTTTTGGTGTGATAGGTTTTTGTGCTACTTGTACTGTATATCAACAGGTATACATACACCAATAGCTAGTGGATTTTATTTATTTTCCAGGTTGGTAACCAATTAATCTCTGATATTCCCTGTACATTAAATGATGGCCAGTGTTGTTTTGTGTTTTTTGTGATTTTTTTCCCCTGAAACAGGATTTTTTCCTTATAATTTCAGGTATTTTTCCTCCAAAGATATAAGCATGTTTATTTGAATGATTTCCTTTTAATATTCATTTACTGAAAGTTGAAAATTTCTTGTATCTTAGCAAGCGTTCAAGGTACTTTGTAAAGGTAAGGAGAGGGTGCATTTAGATTTGATTTTTTCCGTTTGATATCTGCCTACATCAGTGTTATACATTGTGGCACCCTCATCCTACCCGTACGCATTGTCCAGCACTAGAGATGATCCCGAGCATATAGTCACGAGAGAGGCTGTTCCCTGGCTCATCAAGTATATGTGATGGACAAATAATAATTCTCATTACCTAAGACTCACTTAATAAGCTCAATATTTAATGAAGATTTTTTAATACCAATTTTTCTTGATGTTTACAAATAATCAACTTAATGTTTCTTATTTTATAAGCATTAGCATGACTATTTGTAACCTGTATATAATATTTTCAGACTTGAAGTAGCTCCAGCAAGGGAGTTATTGAAGACACCAAACACTGATGGATAAACTCTTAAATAAATTGCATATATATTTTTTATAACAGTGTTTGAGTTATTTTTATAAATCTTTAGTTATTATTTGTTCTTCATTTAAATTATAATTATTTCCCATACTAGATATATTTCCGTTCACACAGTTCTTGTACACAGTACAGTAGTTTGGTTCGTTCTCCCAAATACTTTTTTTTGTCTTCCTATATTAAGTTCATTAGTTTTTGCTTATTATATATTAAATGCATTCCTTCTTTCCTATTATTGTTTATACAGTATTTATTATTACATTAGTATCATTTTTTACTCCCATACCAAACATGGCACTAAAGCATATATATATACTGCATAGGTATACAGTACATTACTTTGTATTTAGTACAGGCAGTCCACAATTTACTAAAGGTTTCCACTCCTGAATAGATTTCATGAAATTTATTTTTCATAAATCAGATCCCATTTGCCATAGACTTCCATTACAAAAGCTGAGATACATTCCTAAAAACAAATAATGTATCCCCAAATGTCTGAAAGTGCAACAAAACATGCTTAAAAAAAAAGGAATTTATGTACATAATGATTATAAGCCAATAATAAACACATTAAGTGAATTGCATATAGTTCAGTGATAATTTTATACTGTACTTGTGAGAAACTGCACCACTGATTGTGATGCAGTGTGAGACTGTGAGGCCCAGCCAAGACATATGGTCTCACTTTGGTAGTGACACACCAGCAGTAGCTCTACTGCTCTGTGCATACTGTATACTGTATATACAGTCTCTCCTCAACTTACGACAACCCGGACATACGACGGCCACGGTCGCATAAAATCTTTATCGTGTTACATATTTTCGAGTCCCGACGTTAGTGATTGCACTGTGTACTGACAAAATTTTCGTTTGTAATACAGTATTACCCCGCCTAACGCGGTTCACTTAACGCGTTTTATCATATACGCGGTGCCTCGCCAGAGCTGAACTTTCACTTAACACGGATTTTTTCCACATATACGCGGTGAGTGTCCGGCTCGAGATGCTATTTTTAGATTTGCCCCACCCTGCCTGACTGCCTGTTTTAGCTCATAAAATTCATACAAATTACCCAGCCAGAATATAATTTACATTGCTGGAATTCTTATAATTTGGTGATCATTTTGAATATAAACATCATATTTTTGCATTAGACATACAAATTTTAGATAAAAAATTTTCTCAAATTAACTATGTTATCTTTTGTGCAAAATATATGACATTTATATTCAAAATATTCCTGGTCTTACAAGGAATCCAGCAATGTCAATTATATTATCCTAACTTTAGTTTGAGGTATTATTTATTAAAATTTAGTGGTTATCCCACACATCTCCTTGGGACGGTTGGTGGGGGGTGGGGGGGAGGGAGGGACCGACCGACCATCTGTTACCCCGTGAAGAATTATTATTTTTTTTATTAACTGAAGATATTTGTTTTAGCTCATAAAATTCATACAAATTACCCGGTCAGAATATAATTTACATTGCTGGAATTCTTATAATTTGGTGATCATTTTGAATATAAACATCATATTTTTGCATTAGACATACAAATTTTAGATAAAAATTTTCTCAAATTAACTATGTTATCTTTTGTGCAAAATATATGACATTTATATTCAAAATATTCCTGGTCTTACAAGGAATCCAGCAATGTCAATTATATTATCCTAACTTTAGTTTGAGGTATTATTTATTAAAATTTAGTGGTTATCCCACACATCTCCTTGGGACGGTTGGTGGGGGGTGGGGGGGAGGGAGGGACCGACCGACCATCTGTTACCCTGTGAAGAATTATTTTTTTTTTTTATTAACTGAAGATATTTGTTTTAGCTCATAAAATTCATACAAATTACCCGGTCTGAATATAATTTACATTGCTGGAATTCTTATAATTTGATGATCATTTTGAATATAAACATCATATATTTTGCATTAGACATACAAATTTTAGATAAAAAATTTTCTCAAATTAACTATGTTATCTTTTGTGCAAAATATATGACATTTATATTCAAAATATTCCTGGTCTTACAAGGAATCCAGCAATGTCAATTATATTATCCTAACTTTAATCTGAGGTATTATTTAATACTAAATGTTAAAAACCCTGGAAGGGAGGATTGGTGGGGGGTGGGGGGGAGGGTTGGGACTGACCGCACGGTTGGAAGAGGGGGGGAGGCAAGGTTGAGTCCATTATTTGAATGGACATTAACTTGGCGACTGTATTTCTCTATTTCTCTTAAGTATTAATTGTGTGCATGTACCATCATAAAATTAAGATGTTATTTTTACTACAACACAGGTATGTGCCTTCAAAAAGTGGAGTTTGGGGGTTGGGCTGGTTTCTATTGGAATTAATCCCATATGTTCTGTTGTTCACTTAACGCGGATTTCACTTAACGCGGGACCCTCTGGGTTCAATTGACCGCGTTAAGTGGGGTACAACTGTACCTTTAAAATGGCTGGCAATTGTAAAAGTGAGAGTTCTCGTGGTGCTGAGAAGAAAAAGAGACACCCAATTTAGAATTTCTATGTATTATTCTCCCCTTTTCGATTTAAGACCAATTCGACTTACGACCTGGTCGTCGGGACGGAACCCCGTCGTAAGGCGAGGAGAGACTGTACTTTGAGATGTTTCGCTTTCACTTTATTTTATTTTTGATGAGGTTTAATTTGAAGAAGAAATTATAGACTTATTCATTTAACATTTTATTTCCTCCACTGACATTAGACCAAACTCTGAGGTACTTAACACATCATTGTTCCCATTGTCAAAATATCTTGAGTCAGCATCTTGCCACTGCTTCAGGTGACGTTGTGAGTCATGATAACTAAAACATTAGTTAACCACACTTGATATAGTACACTACTCTCTGTTGTTTTTAGTTCAATTGTTTCTATAAACTGACCAGGTCTAGTATAGGAAGCCCTAAGGTGCCTGTGCCAGCACTTCAGGGCTTCTTCTGATACTTCCAAAAAATATATGAAAAAAAAAATTATGTAACCAGATTTTTTCTATGTAAATCGGAATACGGGGCAAATATTTTTTTTTATTTTTAACTCGGGAATTTTGTAAATTGGATCTTGAAAAATTGAGGACTGCCAGTACAGGTATATATTTAATATACAGTAAAGTATAGTATTTTTAACTCTTATCATTATGTTTACTTCTCACATTAAATATACAGTATTACCCCGCCTAACGCGGTTTCACTTAACTCGTTTTATCATATACGCGGTGCCTCGCCAGAGCTGAACTTTCACTTAACACGGATTTTTTCCACATATACGCGGTGAGTGTCCGGCTCGAGACGCTATTTTTAGATTTGCCCCACCCGCAACCCGCCACCCTGCCTGACTGCCTGTTTTAGCTCATAAAATTCATACAAATTACCCGGCCAGAATATAATTTACATTGCTGGAATTCTTATAATTTGGTGATCATTTTGAATATAAACATCATATATTTTGCATTAGACATACAAATTTTAGATAAAATGTTTTCTCTAGTAAATATGTTATCTTTTGTGCAAAATATATGACATTTATATTCAAAATATTCCTGGTCTTACAAGGAATCCAGCAATGTCAATTGTATTATCCTAACTTTAGTTTGAGGTATTATTTATTAAAATTTAGTGGTTTTCCCCAAAAATTTCTCAGAGAGGGAAGAGCCAGCAGTGTAGTGTGAGAAGAGGGGGAGGGAGTTGAGTCCATTATTTGAATGGACATTAACTTGGCGACTGTATTTCTCTATTTCTCTTAAGTATTAATTGTGTGCATGTACCATCATAAAATTAAGATGTTATTTTTACTACAACATAGTTATGTGTCTTCAAAAAGTGGAGTTTGGGGGTCAGGCTTGTTTCTATTGGAATTAATCCCATATGTTCTGTTGTTCACTTAACGCGGATTTCACTTAACACGGGACCCTCTGGGTTCTATTGACCGCGTTAAGTGGGGTACAACTGTATATGGGAAAATCTCTGCATATCTGGCCACTTGCATCACCTACCATACCTCTGTGTCACCTACCATGCATCTGTATCTCCTACTAAGATGCTTCATTCTTTGCCTGCAGTGTTGGTAAGTGTTACTTATTTACATTTAGTAATTACATGTTCACATATATGGGTCGATAATTTATTTTATTTCTTTGTAGGAGAGGGGCAGTGCCTCGATAAGTCGGAATTTGGGATAACTCGGCAAGGAAAGAACCCCATATGTGCCGAGTTATCGAGGGTTTACTGTACAAGGTATATGTATGTTGTGTTGTCAAAGTAAGAGAAACAATTGAGACCCTGCAATTGTGTGTAAATGAGGCAGAAAGTCAGATCAGCAACATAGGACTTGTCACAATTTTTGTGATGCCATATGGCAGCAGGGATTACCATTAGACAACACATTATGCTTCCAATATCTTCCCAGGCGGTAGTACCTCCCTGTTTGATAGCTGCCTACTACCTACTACTCTATACAATAGTATACTGTATTTTGTTTATTTACAATACATTGTACATGTACAGTAGTGTCTGCATAAGTAAATACAGCTCTGTGTCTCTGACTGCAGTCCGTAATGGAAACAATCACCAGTGCCTGGAAAAATTTCAGTCTTGCAATTGTTTCCAGGAATAAGAAAATTTGCCTCAATACCCGGAAATCTCTCAAACCCGAAACCACTCGGCACCAATTATTCTGCTAACGGGGAGATTACTGTATTGTAAGATCATAAAGATAGATTAGGTTTGGTTTGTCTCATTTTGTCTCAAAGTTGATGGTTTATGCTCACTTTATGTACCAGACTGTGTCAATTGTATTTTGCCTGTTTCACCTTGTTTTTTCTACATACTCACTGTTCAGCATATTATTTTGGCAAGGTAAATTGTTTCTTCTAAGTAATTATGAAAATTGTTTGGAGTTTTGTAAGGGAATTCTACTTAGAAGCTGTGCGCCACTAAACTGAACTGTAATTTGCCTTATGAATTTCAACACAAAAATGCTTATTTGGAAAAGTGAAAAATTCACAATTCCAGCATGTTGTCAGTCCCAAAAGTGCTGGATTTCTTAGGTTATATTGCGTTTGTCATTTACATTCAGGTTGAGGATATGAGAAAGTATTTCCATCTCCTCCCTCTCCTCCCCCTCCTCCTAAAACTTCTCCTCCTCCTTCCATGCCACACAAAATTGGGAGAAAAGGAAATCTAATAGATACTGTATAATTATTTTACAGCTGGACCAGATAACCACAAAATTGGCACGAACAACTAAGCAGGGAGGTTACATGCAGTGGCGGCCTGTGAGTTACCTTAGTTCAGACCGGGATATTAACTTGTCCACTGACCCAAACATTGATGGCAACTTTACTTCACTGACGGAAATCTTTATTGCCCTGGAAGAGTCTTTGGCCTATGCAGTGTTTGGGGATAAATTGGAATCAGCAATGACTGCCCAGACAAAAGTTTCTTTTGGCCAGAAGGACAAATTTTATGCTGCAAATAACTACACCACATGGTAAGAAAGTTATAATTTGTTTGTTAAAAAACTAAGAGCTTAATCCTTAAATATCAGCTCTCATCAGTGTAAGTTTACCCTCTCGTGCATGCAATAAGTGACCACAATGAAGGTCATATGGGACCAATTCACATGAGGTCTGGTCATCATATTTGTGCGACCAATTTATCCCACAATATTTTTCTTTTTGAATGATTTATGCATCACTGGCTTCATTATTGTTTGGGCTTTGATATACAGTAGAAGTCCAAAAATCCGGACTGCTTGGGGATTGGGTCGGTCCGATTTTCGGATTTTCCGGATTCTCAGGCAGTACTTTTAAAATTCAAATTTAATGAAGAATAAAGAAGAAATGAACAGGTACATTTTGATAGTTTATTCATTTGCAAATATAGCATGCTTCATTTATCAAAACGAGCAGTTTTAATGAAAAAGCTGTGAATTCTAAATTTTATTCTTTGCCTTTTATATATCATAAATTGTAGACTTTCCAATGTCGTATGTTTCCATTAGAACAGTATTGCTCACACCACGATCTAGTTTCTTAATTATTTCAAGTTTGTCACTCAATTTACCTTTTTCTCTCTTCACACAACGAAGTTTATCTACTTTAGGAGCCATTTTATGGGCTTGTACAGTACTCTGTAAATGGAAAGAGTAGGACTCAAAATATTGTTATATTACAATGGTATTCTATTCATACTGTGCTTGATATAATGCATTCACGGAAATGTAATATTTTTATGAACGTACGATACAGTGGAAAGTGTGATAAAATCGTGATGAAAACAATGACTTTCGCTTTTTGTCTAAAAGATGTTACCGTAATCGTCAATGGTTTTCAGTTCAAAAACTTTTGTATTACAATAATATTCTATCCTAATTGACTTGAATAAATACTACGATACCATATTTCTGAATATTTTCATTAAAATCCATCAAAATCATTTTCCTTTGTCATCGCTTGCAGCACCAAACAGCTTCTCCCAGTCCTCTCTTGAACAGGGCTAGAGGGTACGTGTTTTTCGAATCGCTTTTCAGTTAAAAAACTATTACATCACTCGCCTATTTTACCTAAACTGCGCCTGAATGAATATATTCTCGGAGATAAATAGTTTTAGGAAACGTGACGATTTCAATGTAAAATAGGATAAAATACATGACTAAAACAAAGACTTTACCTAAGCTTCCGATGTTCTGAGATGTTACTGTTTTTTAATAGTTTTTGGTTAAAATTTGATATATTACAATGATATTCTATTCATACTGTGCTTGATATAATACATTCACGGAAATGTAATATTTTTCCTGAAATTACATAATGATTATGGAAAGTGGATAAAATCATGACGAAAACAATGACTTTCGCTTTTCGCTCAAAAGATGTTACCGTAATCGTTTTTCGAATGGTTTAGTTTAAAAACTGTTGTATTTCAATATTCCTCTCCTAATTGACTTGAATAAATACTTGAATGGAAATATACAATATTTTTGTTGAAACTACTGGTTTCAGTGTAAAGTGTCGGAATAATAAATGGTAAACACCTTCCAGCACTTGTGTTTCATGCACCAAGTAGCCTCAGTTTATAGGACGAGCTTTTTAGTGGGTTTTTGTTCCATTACCTCAAAAACGTGGGTGGAACTATAAACGAGGAATATCATAAATTAACGATTTCTTGGTCAAAAAATCAGGGTCGACTGATAACGAGGGGGTTATAGGATTAGTATATACGGTATGTTGTCACAGTTTGATTGCCCATTTTAAGTGGCGACCACGTGGCTCTGTTGTCGCAGCAGCTGTGGCCCACGCATGCCATATGCACACAAATGCCCTAAAAAAAAAAATCGTTTTTGAAAAGTCCGGATTTCGGTGGGTCCGATTTGCATCCGGATTTTGACTTTACTGTAAGTAGAAAAAATATAAGACATGTATTTTTTTCGCTCAATAAAGAAAAAAATTCCCAGCATCATATCTCTGATACATTACGCTCTCACAAAGCTACTCAGCTATTATATACAGTTGTACCCCGATTTACGGCGTCAATTGAACCCACAGTACCGCGCTGAGTGAAATGCAATGGAACAACAGAACATATGGGATTAATCCAATAGAGACTGGCCCACCCCCAAACTCCACTTTTTCAGACACAATACCTACGTGTAGTAAAATTTACATCTTAATTTTATGATGGTTTGCACTCACAATTAATAATTAAGAGAAATATCAATATTAGTTTTTTAACACTTACATTAGTAGAAAAGATGGCTGAGCACACAGGGATGGGGTTGGTTCCGAGGCAGAGGCAGATTATTGGCCCTCACCTGTATCACTTGTATCAATTGTATCACTATCCACCACATAGGCTTGCAGGGCCTCTTTGTCAAACCCTCAAAGTCCATATAAGTCCATATCCTCACTATCACTATCACTGACTTAGGCCGGCTGTGGTGGGTGGCGGTGAAGAACTAGGTAATGTTTTGATGACCGGCTTAATTCTTAGCGATCCTGCCCGCGCCGCTTCCCACGTATATGGGTAGACGAACCGCATAAAGTGAAAGTTCGGTCTGGCAAGGCACCGCCAGATATGAGAAATCACAGAAAGTGAAACTGCGAAGCGGGTACAACTGTAGTTAAATAGAAGCAGAATTTATGAGTTTCCAATGATTGCTGGAAATTTGATATGACTGATTGGAGAGGGTGGGGAGAAAATACTGTAAAGAGATAATGCGACTTACCAGCATGGCTGATAGGAGGAAGCTGTTGGACAGCGGAACTCCACCCATGCTTTGGTACTTTGAAGCTTCCTTCGCAACTTCGCAGTTATCTATGATGCACAAAATATTGGTCTTAATTGCTTTGATTATTATTTTTTTATAAGTTTAATGACGCAATTGTAGTCACCGATGCAAATAGTGCTATCCAATGATTGCGCTATGATGCTGAGGTGTTAATAGGGACAACATGCATCATTATTATGAGGTCAAACGATAAAGGAATAAACATTTCTTTGCTCACCAGTTAGCAGGCAGAGGTAGAGCGAATGTGGTGGGGGCGCTAGTAGAAGTCGGCAAAGACATTGTCCTAGGTGGGCTTTGTGGTATGGTAAGTGTTGAGTTGAAAGCAGTGTATATACAAATAGCATTTTTGTTAAACTTTCATTTGGCTCTTCCTTAGGTTTAGCTGCATTTATTTTAATTCCAGATCTTCTACAAATTTTGTTTGTTTGAAGTAGCATAGTTGTTAAATAACATAGTTGAGGCAATGTGTAGTATGATTATGAATACTGTGAAAGGAGGTACATGGAGTTGGAGTTTTCTTCACAGCCTTTCAACTTTCCATAAAGGCCAAGCATTTTTGGATCTGTGATATTATTCTTTATTTTTGTATTTTTATTTATTTTTAACTCGGTTTTCAGTACAGGTTGAATCTCATTTAACGGCACTGGATTTACCGGCAACTCACATTTAATGGCAAAATTTAGAGATCAAAATTTTTTCATTATTTGTTTATCTTTAAGGCCTGCCCGTAATTTCACTAGTCTCTTACCTTCTGCAACGCTTCCCTGGGTGGTCAGTGTATTTTGGCATTAAAATCCAGCCGGTGCTGTGCTTGTAGACGCTTCTTTAAATTTCTACTTTTGCATCAATTATGTCCTCTAAATGACCTGAAAACCTGACTGGAGTTAGTAGCCACCAAAAGAAGAAAAGAATTTCCTGAAAATTTTGGCAGAAGGTTGCAATATTATGGAAAATGGTGCCAGTTTAATGAAACATTATTGAAAAATAATAGCCCCCAAAAAAAAAAAAAAATTTGCACACTCAATCCCAGATGAGCTATTGTCTGTAGTATATTTTCAGTCTCTTGTTTATAAAATGGTAACACTGACCCACTCTTCACTAATAGTGTTGCCAGCATCGCCATCTCTCAAGCACTGTTGTTGACACTGTCCTAGAGGGCTGGTGGTTACCACAGGATCTGTCTTGGACACTTAAATAATATTGTAGCATATTTATCAGAACTTAATAAATGTTATTGTAGTGTTAATATCGCCTCCGTATGCCCTGGTTTATCCTCACCTCGTTTCCCACTACCTTGCAGTGTTACATTTATTTATTACTATTATTTACTTTATAATTACTGTACAGTATGTACATTTCGAAAAAAATTTCCTCAGTAATTATAAATAGTGAGATTATTTTATGGGCAGCCAAGGCAAGGCGCAAAACTGAGCAGAAGACGAACGTAATAAAAATGAACACACATCAGCTGGGTGGTCACCAGTTGACTCAGAGATTTGTGTGTGTCCTGACACGACATGCAGTTACTGTTCAGTGCTCACTGCCCCACACACATATATGTTCACTTCCCACACATACGCATCCATGCACTTCATGTTTCTTATTTTATGGTAGTTTTATATTCTATTTTCTTTATTTGTGTGCCACTTTAGAGTATAGTAATTTTACTCTTTTTTGCTCTGTATTAGAGAAAAACAATTTTACTAGGGTAGACTAATATCCTGAGAAATTTATGTCCCTTATTTTTTTTACAATTTATCATCTTCACCACTGATCGGCTCGTTAGTCTTGGGCAACGGGTCACGTCTGTTACCTTTCTCTTTCTTTATCCTCTTCACCAAATGATTGGCTTGTTAGCCTCTTTAGCGATCAGTCACGTCTCTGTTATGCACTGTTGGAAGTGCATCGGCATGCACCAGCTCCTGAATGTACCTGAACCCGGCCCAGTGTTGCAAGTCTGTCTTAGAGCTCACACTCGTGTCGTTACAACACTCTCTGGTAGATTGTCCAAGAGTTTACAACCTCACTCGAAAAAATTTGCCCTCACAGTTTTCTGGATTCGGCTTATCTTGAGCTGTGACCCTTAGGGGGGCAGTTTCCGCCAGCTCCAAGTAAGGACACTGACTGAGTAGTGCCCCTGAGATGCTTATACACCTCAACTAGGTCACCCTTGCCCGTCTGTAGTATAAGCTGGGCAAGTTCAGGCGCCCAATCTCTCAAGGGTAACTGAGGTTCTGAATTGCAGGCACCAGTCTGGTGGCCCTCCTTGAATATTTTCTACCAACTGACAGTCCCTAGCATGTCTTGGAGACCAGATGGGGTGACAGTACTCCAGATGGGGAAGCACTTCACTCTTAAAGATCATTACAGGACGGACCGTCTAGATATCTGAACGACC